AAACAAAAAACTTACATACCACTCCATTACAAAAAGAAACACTATTTTTAACATCTACATATCCTTTTGCTCCAGCATCAACTGATACTATTGCCCGTTGGATAAAGAATATCTTAACTGTAGCAGATCCAGATACAAAAGCCAAAGATATAAGAGCAATTTTAGCCTTTTTAGCCTAAAACTCTGGTGCGGAATTATCTACGATACTAGCATTGGGTAATTGGTCTGGGTATGAGGTTTATCAAAAATTCTATCAGCGAGGTATAAGAAGAATATTAGAAAGGAACCAAACATCAACAAAAATTATTAAACAAGCAAGGTTGTTATACAAAAATTCTGACAGTACTCCACAGGCTACACGTGATATGATATATCGAAGCAAGTGAAATGCATTTTTCACAATGATCGAGTATTACAAAGATCATTGTAAAATGTATGAACAAGCGTAGATATTGAATATCATGTGTAACCCTCCCTAAAAAATGTACATATAGAAACAATTAACCCACTCAATATATATAGACAGCAAAAATAAATCAGCCTAGTGAAGATAGATTAGATGAAACCACATATATATAGCAAAATCAATCATATGATGTATTACTTGCATAATGTACTCTGAATTTGGAGCTAGCCAATAATAAAATGGCCATATTACACGTGGTATGATATATCAAAGCGAGTGAAATGCATTTTATTATCTTATTAGCACTATATCGATATGAGCTATGCATGCTAACTATCTTGATAGCTCTTGAGCATGCCCTCAAAATTTTTATCATATTTAAATTGTATTTATAAGATTCAACAAGCTAATTTGACTTTTGATTCTATAATTCAATGTATGTATTGCTTTGAAACTTTATTTTGAATTAGCATGCATATACAATAGTAAATTTTATGTTAGTTAAACTTTATAATATACATTTATATAATATTTTCTTTTCATAGCACATCTTGAATATATGCCAGTTATTATCAAGTAATTAGCTACAGTGATCAGCACTAGGGATGGGTTTGACTACAAATGGCTATGATTATTTATAGCCAATTTGTTAAATACTGAGATGATTGTTTGTTCTTGAGCTTTTAATTAAAGTTGTTCAGAATTAAATTCTGTTTATCCTATTTTAGAAGTAGAAAGAGCGATACCTTTTCTGGAACTTGAAATTATAATATTTGTTAACATTATAGCTGACTATTAGCCAGTGGCTAGTAGCTAGTATCACGTTAGAAATTAGATGCCCGAATGCCACAGTCATGTATGCCCATAAATGTTCATGATCTGCAAAACAATATAGAAGTAAAGGCAAATTACATCACATCTCTTAAGCAAATGATCATATTTTTAATGGTTTGCGGTGATGTACATTTTAATTAAAATGATAAGTAGGTTAAATATAGAAAAACCAATAAAAGAATAGAATAGCAAAAAGTACTTTTCTCAAAATTGTGTATATAAGACCTTCGATTTCACCTTGCTTTAGCTTAGACTTTGATTGCTTTTGAACTCTCACTCATAGAAATAGTTATTTTCTTATCTCTTTTGTATTTATTAGTTACTTTATTGGTTAGATAAAGTAGCCGTGTCTTTATATATATTAAATTTCTTTATTTTCTTAATAAAATCTACAAAACATAAATCACGTGATATTATGAATTCAATTATACAGGTTTTAGTAAAGGAATTATTTATTAAAACAAACATAACCTTCTATATCTTCATATATAGTAGTGTTGTTTGCCTCTTCAATAAGGCTTATTAAATCCTCTTTGTTGAGTCATATATTTGACGCTTTTTACTTCCTATTTCATCATAGTTATAGTCTTCATACTATAACAACCCATCCCTTGAATTTGACTAAGAGGTAAATTCTAAATATAACACTGGCTATGACATTAACAAATCTTAAGTTTCTGAGTTCCAGAGAAGATATCACTCTTTCTACTTCTAAAATGGAATGAACAGAATTTAATTTTGAACAACTTTAATTAAAAGCTCAAGAACAAAAAATCATTTCAAATTGGCTATAAATAATCGTAGCCATTCGTAGTTGAACCTATCCCTAATTAGCACTATTTAAATTCTATCAAATAGATCTCTGTTTACTCATTATACGTATGTATGTTTATAGAATCTTTTAAATAAAACTTTTTACCTTGTACTTTGTCAATTTTTTTGTCTTTATAGGTTTCTATTCTTTTAATTTGTAAATTTTAGATATAATGATAACAAAATTGAAATAAATATGCATAGAAAATATTGTATATGATTTAGCAGAAAAAGTGTTATTATTATTATTTTGTTTTTTAATAAGGTATAGCTTAGGGTAGATTATAAAAAAGCTTTTTTTGGTTCAAAAAAAAATTCTTAAACTATGCAATATATTTAAACATATTTAGTAAGTATGAAAATATCATTGTTGTTCTATTTAATTAAAAAGAACATCTTAAGTTAACAAATTTTATAACAGTATATACTGTTAATAAAAATATCATTTATAAATTATAAATTTTTACTAGAAATCAAAATTTATACTCTCTGTTCAATATTCAAAAAAATAATTCAGTAGATAGAATGTTATATATATTTATTATATAGTTAAAATACTATATAACTAACTGATATAAATATTTATAAATCAAAAATAAATGAAAAGACCAGAATATTATTTTTAAACAATGTTTGCAATTCCTACTTTGTATCTTTATTTATAGCTAGATAGTCTGTTTGGTTAATTGTATCAATATCAATATCAATATTATCTATACTAATATTAATTTCATTTAACTGTATCTTTATCAATTTGGTCTTCTTCAGATATCATATTTATCCATTATTGCATTATTTCATTCCAATTATTCACATTAATTATAAACTCACTTTCTCCATTAGTTTTTTCTTCTTTTTCATTGGAATTTTTATTAAAATTTTTATCAAGCATTTGTAAAAGTAACACAGTATTATTTTGTTTATACTTTTCTTTTGATGCTTCAATTTCTTTTAACTGATAATAATAATTCATAGTTGCACAAAGCTGACTTATCTGAAGTTCTTTCTGAGACTAATTTTTGAAAAATTTAGTAAATTTAAAATATAAAATATTAAAATTTAATAAATTTAACAAACCTTTAAGTGGGATCATTTTTTATTATATAACCAATCTATACAAAAAAAAAAGCCTCTCAACAGAAACAGAATTGATACAAATTCCAAAAATATAGCATACTATTTTACCTAATTCCTTTGCTGAAGTGCTATAATATTTACAATACTCTATAATATTATTAGCAAACTGGTTTGTAACATATCCTGTAAATAGTTTTTTCTTTTTTCGATATTTCTCAAGCTCTAGTAAAAGAGTAAGTGGTTTATTACCAAACCAGTTACAATAATAATAAACAAGCCAGTCACTAAGCTAGAAATAAAGTTGTTTATTTATTGCACTAAACATTGATATTCCATGTTTGAAATAAAAAAAAAATAAAAAAAGTAACAAAGGCTATTTTTATGAATCTTATTAGCATTTAATCAACTAATTATACTATTAGCCAATTTTTTATTTAGATAATTTTTATATAATTTTAGTAAGTAAGATATGCAATAAAGAACCTCATACAAATATACTTTGTCTTATTGTAATTTATTAAGATATGTACAATAAGGAAGTAGTAGTTAAGAAAGCTCTTGTAAATATAACTACCAGCTTTTATTATTAATAATTTTACAAATATTTTTAGACAAATAAAGTATGCTAAATTTAATATTTGTAGAAAGCTCAAATTTAGTATCTAAAGTCTATATTAGCAGATTAAAATATAAAATAGAATAATTATTAGAATTAAAAATTTATCTAATAATACAAACTATATATTATACAATGTATATATTAAATATAAATTAAACTTACTTTTAATATACTTTTGAATTATAAACACTCTTCCCAACGATCATTTGGACCAACTTTTTAAAACCAAACTTTCAATAAAAAACAGTAAAACTATGTTAGAGAA